CAATATTCCAAAATGATGGAATATTTCACATTGCTTTTAGATTAAAAGTTGAAACCAAATCTCTGAATTTCTCACGGGACTCTGGTATTATTTACTGAGCAATAGTATTGTGCTACTGTGTGTACAGGGGAATATCAGATGTCTGGAAGAATTAATGAATATTCAAGGAGTTCTGCTTTGCAATGAGCTTCAGCTGAAAGCTGTGTTCATTCATATACATTTAAGTAAAGCTTAGATTTGCTCATTTTTCATAAATCTTCTTTTGAAGAGAGGAAAACAATCAGGCTGTGCTTTTATAGAGTGAATTTAAAATTAAAATTAGACATTTAGGTGTCATTTCAGTTGTAAAGTAGCCCTTAGTCTGATGGTTGGAACAGGGTTTCCAATTATGTTTAATTTGTATGCACAGGGCTTGGTTAGACAAAGTATTAAGGATTCTTACTTGTTCATAATATTTCTATCATGTGCAGGGCTTTTCAACACCCTCACTAAATTAGTTCTTGGAAGCCCTTGTTCACTATATTAACGTAATCTATCCCACACATAGTAAAACAAACTGTTTGGCCTTTCAAATGAGAGGACCCCAATCTTAATAAATATTGAATTATAAAGCCCCTGCGTGGGGAATACAAGCTAATTCTTTTCTCTTTGCACCAGCTGTGAGCTGCTCTGTGTGATGTATGGCACAAACTCTCCAGGAAAGAGGAGCAAATTGAAAACACCACCCCTGTGGGTTCCCTTATTAGACTGGAAGTGACTGTGAAATTTGCAGGACACAGCTCATTAAAACAAGGCTGGCAATCTGTGACCCTGGAGTGGGAAGAGGAGATCCATGCTGGAAAACAGGCTGTTGCTTTGATTGGGGGGAACTTGGCTAGGGAGGAGGAAAATGTGTGTGGCTGCTTGTTAACCCCCTCCTCACCAGAGCTCCTTACGAGCTGCAGAAGGTGAGGCAGCAGTGGCTCAGGCCCGGGTGGAGATGAAGGGATGGGTTCCTGGAGAGCTGCTGGTGCTGCCCATCCCAGCTCCACACTCCCAGGGCTGTTTGTGCTGCTTGGGCACTGAATGGTGCAGAGGAAATATCAGTGCCTGCGTGTTTCATCAGTGGGAACTCAGCACAGCGCAAAACCAAGGGCTGCAGAGCTGCTTGTTCATTACTGAGATATTTAATTGCTATTAATTTAGAGATAATTGCAGTGAGCCCCCTGACCCAGGCAAGTGTATCAAGGAGAAGATTTTCACAAAATCCCAGGATGGGTCAGGCTGGAAGGGACCTCAGAGGGTCACCAGGTCCCTGCTCCCTGCTCCAGCAGGGCCACCCCAGAGCACAAGGCACAGGATTGTGCCCTTGGTTCTGGAATATCTGCAGTGAGAGACACTCCACACCTTCCCTGGGCAGCCTACTCAGGGCTGGGCACTGCCCAGGGCAGCAGTTCTGCCTCCTGTGAGGGGAATTGCTGGGATCAATCCCTGCCCTTGGCTCTGGGGCCATCGCTGGGCCTGGGGCAGAGCCTGGGCCTGCTCTGACCTCTGCACACAGGGACAGACCCAGGGACAGACTGGGACAGAAGACAGGGACACCCAGGGACACCCAGAGCTGAGGCCCCTCTCAGCTGGGGCTCCTCTCCAGGCTGAGCAGCCCCAGCTCCCTCAGCTTTTCCTGGGCACCGAGATGCTCCAGGCCCTTTCTCAGCTCTGCAGCCTCCACTGGCCCCACTCCAGGAGGAGCCAGAGCTGGGCACAGCACTCCAGGTGTGCCCCCAGAGCTGGGCACAGCACTCCAGATGTGCCTCCAGAGCTGGGCACAGCACTCCAGATGTGTCTCCAGAGCTGGGCACAGCACTCCAGATGTGCCTCCAGAGCTGGGCACAGCACTCCAGGTGTGCCTCCAGAGCTGGGCACAGCACTCCAGATGTGCCTCCAGAGCTGGGCACGGCACTCCAGATGTGTCTCCAGAGCTGGGCACAGCAGTCCAGATGTGCCTCCAGAGCTGGGCACAGCACTCCAGATGTGCCTCCAGAGCTGGGCACAGCACTCCAGATGTGTCTCCAGAGCTGGGCACAGCACTCCAGATGTGCCTCCAGAGCTGGGCACAGCACTCCAGGTGTGCCCCCAGAGCTGGGCACAGAACTCCAGGTGTGCCTCCGGGGCTGGGCACAGCAATCCAGATGTGTCTCCAAGGCTGGGCACGGCACTCCAGATGTGTCTCCAGAGCTGGGCAGGGGGGCAGGATCACTTCCTGACCTACTGGCAGTGCTCCTCGCAGTGCTTCCCTGGATATACCATTGGCCTCCTTGGGCCCCAGGACAAAGTGCTGGCTCATGGACAACTCCGTTCCATCCTGGGCTGTCCATGGAATGATCTCTTGGAGAGCCTGGTGTTGAATTCCATCCTTCTGTGCTTGGTGTGTGGAAAGGCTCAGCTGCAGAGGAGCTGTCCTGGCTCTGTAAATCAGCACTGTCAGAAGCCAGACCAGACCCAGACTGCACAGCCAATCTCACTTGCCCTCAGGCACAAATCCTTAAAATTCCACTGTGTGAGTGTGCAGTTGGGTGCTCCCCAACCCAGCCTAGTGCAGTTTGGTGCTGAATATTCAGCTATCAGTTGTTTGCACTGATGAAAAGAACAGGATAATTTACCCCAAACTTACTCTAGGTTCTAATAAATCCCATTTTCATACCACCAGAACCCAGGGAAAAAACAAGGCAAAAATATTAACATTTTCTGCTTGAAAAAGCAGCTCTCCTAGTAGTTAAGTTCAATCCCTTAAGTGATCATCTAATTCTAGTCTGACATTTTCTGTAAGTGAATAAACCTGTATCTTAATTCTCCCCCTGTCAAAGATTAAATAGTGCTACGTCAGCTTTTAGTGTGATTGATCCAAATAAAGACCATGAAGAATGTAGCCTGGTTGGAAACATTCAATGAAATCATACATTTGGGGAAGGCTGCCCCCATCCCTGCTGATGTGGAAGAGCTGGGTTGTGGGAAGAGAAATGCTGGGATGACAACACAAACTGATGTTGCTCTGCATGAGGAAGAGGAGAGGCTGAGTACAAAAGGAGCTCAATAATTGTGAGTGAGATCCATGCTCTGATGGCTTGGGAAAAGCACATTCCCTTGAGCCAGATCCAGCTGGATTTCCAAAATGACCATTCAGTCACACATGAAGATTTTGGCCCTGCTCACCATAACAAAGAACCAAACCCCTTATCTGTGACATGTGGGGGATTGGTAACTTCCCCTTGGACTTGGAACTTTCCTTTAGGAAGAGTGGCAAGTGGGGGTGCAAACAATGAAAGTCTTACAAATGTCTCATGCCATTTGTGTCAATATTGCTGTTCTCCTTAGGGAGACTGAGGGATGGAGGGACACCTGACTTGAAGTGACAACAAGGAAAAGGCTCTATGTTGTTGAACTTCGTGCTAGTGCAGTAGTTGTCCATCTTCTCCCTGTGAGTATTCTGGAGTCTGAACCATTTCATTTGTTTTTCAGTTGAAAATAAGTTTTAAATTCTTCCTGCTGTAATTCTGACATGGGAAAGCTGCCTCTTCCTCATCCAGATCAATTCAGTGATTCACTCCTTACACAGTCTGCTGATGGTTATGAGGATGGAATTACAGGCTTTGTAAATGGCTGTAAAACACATGGCTCCAAAGTGGTTTATTTTCATATCTGAGATTTTAGAAAGTGAACTTAAAAGAGCTGTAGTTTTCCTTGTGTGCTAGGAGGCTGGAGAGAGGATTTTTTGAATATTTGATCCACACAAAGTGCAGATGGGAAGATTGCTGGACAGGTGGGGAGAAGGAAAGAGAGAAAGAAAACAAAGAAAGAAAACAAGGGAAAGAAGAAAGCCAGGAGCACACAGGTTTATTTTTAGGAAGTGTTTATTCTTAGAGTGGGAACTCACAGCCAGGCTGCATTCAGCAGGGCATCTGCACACAGTGTTCTGACCTGCAGGTGCCCAAATACCCTTCCAGAGCCCCACACAACCCCAGCAGCTTTGGGTCATCCCAAGAGAAGTGGCTGATTGCTTTTGCACCTATGCTATTAATAACTGAGGTGGAGGGCAAAACTGATAGGTTTTAAATAATGGGATCATTCCTTAAAGTCAAATTATATTGGGCTTATGCATTTGTTCCCATCCCAATTAAATTTGTGGTCCTCTCTCTTTGAACAGTGCACGTTCCAAAGATTAAGTAGAAAGTTACTGGAAAAACTCTGAACTGATAACAAGGGATTAATATTTCTTACCTAATTGTCACTGAGATGGATGGTTTGGGAATATTTCCAAGACTACACTTGCTTTAGTAGCCACACTTGCAGCACACCTTGCTGAAGGCTAAGCAAGTGCTGAAGGACAGGGATGTGTTTCCTCATGGCAACCCTAAAGATCCTGGGATGAGCTGACCCAGCCTGGCCCCCATGATCCCAGTGATTACACAGGGAATCTTCAGCACATCTGGAAAGTTTGTTCAGTAATTAAATTACTCATCTGGGACTATGAGTCTTAAACTTCCTCTGTGGGTATGTTGGACCCCTTGTGGAAGGCTGTGCTCCCACACGGAGAATTTCAGGAAAGTTCCAGCTGGGATGCAGTAATTCAGGCCCTGGCTGAGGGGATGCTCCCCTTGACGGCTCCCGCTAGGAATGGTTACAAGGAGAGAAGGATAATGAGGACAGCAGCTGAAGGAGTAAAGATGCCCGCCCTTGCCCTTTCCCTCCTGCCCCCACCCCCAGAGCCACAAGTGCTGACAGAACTCTGGTTCCCATTTGTCCTCCCGTTCTAGGGGAGGGATCCTTTCCGATCGCCAGGTCCTTGAGGGGTGTGAAGAGTAAACGAGGTGTGAACAACACATCAAGTGGGCAGCACAGGGAAGCGGAGCCGTGAAAGCATTTGCTCCGTAAAAATAGAACGGGGCTGTTGGCAGCAAGAGGTGTCTGGAACAGATAAAGGCGGCAGTGAGTGATGGGAGTGGGGTTGTTTTATTAACGCAACAGTCTGAGCTTCCTGACCTTATGGGAGAGGACGGAGCTGGGCAGGACAGGTGAGCCTGTAACTTGTTCTCAGCGCTGGGAGGATTGCAGCTCGCCCGATTCAGTACGGAACAGCCACGGGCAGTGTTTGTCACCTCCCCTCAGCCGGAATGGGGAGCACAGGGCAGATTCACTCCTAGCGATGATCCCGTGGAAAGGCGTGAGCTGCACTCCCGTTTCCTTTAATGGGCTTTACTGTGGAGGAGCTGCAGCTCTGGAGTCCCCCTGGAGCCCCAGCATCCATCCAGCCGCTGCTCTTTGATCATCCCTGGGCACTGGGAAGCTTGTCTGTGTGCTTGGAATTAGCGTGGATGTTCTTCTCGGGTGAAATATTTATAAATCAAGGGGAAATTTTCTGACTAAACAATAAATCACAGCGTGGGTTTGCTATGAACATCCCTCGTGTATAACTGTCATAGCACAGCACTGCCTCCAATCCAGGGATCTCATCCATCCCCATCCCACAGAGATCAGCATATCACCAGCAGAAAGTGATTTACCAGACAAGTCCCAGTTCCTGCCTGTATTATTCCATGATTTATGGCTCATCTGATGTGGCTGTAGCTGGAGTGCAAGACAGAATCTGTTCTGCAACACAAACAAAGGGTATTAGACTAACAGATCTGATATTGAAAGATGGGTATCTCTTTGCATGGCAGCTCTCTGGCCTGTTGTTTATTTGCTGTCTCACTCAACTGCAGCTCTAGCCTTGCTGCTCTGTTGCCAGAAAGGCTAAAGCATAAAATGGAATTACAAGTATGAACAGCTGTGGGTTGTGTCACTTAGGAACACACAGCAACCACTGGAAGGGCCACGAAGAATGGGCAGGGACAGCAAACGGGAGCTCAGCACTCAAACCTGTGAGGTTTCCCCCACTGGCTCCAGGATTTCAGGTTTGGCCTGGCAGGAGCAACAACTCTGAATGAGACTTCAGCCACTCCATGGCTTTTAAAAACATTAATAGAGCATCTAAATTTAGAGCACTGCACTTCTGTTTCATTAAGAATTCCACTTTAGACAGACTCCATGGAATGTGCCCCCAGAGCAGCTCCACTCTGCTGCTGCAGGGACTAACAGGAGCTCCCACTCCTCACCCTCAGCTGCTCACAGCCTGGGGCCTTCCTCACCTGACATCCCTCCTCATTCCTGACCTTGAACCTCAGCTGGCCCCCGTTCTTCAGATGTCATGGGGCAAATGCTGCCCAGCTGAAGCCACTGAAACAAAGCTGGTTTTAGCTTTCAACCGAGTGAGGAGGCCTGGTGTGAGTGCCTGCAGAGAAAAGGAACTTATGCTGGTTTGCAAACATCACTGGTGTTCGAATTGCCCTTCTGTGCTGTTTTGGGGTGAGCAGGTAGATAAATCCAGGGGTTCTTACAGATCTCATGGAAGCTGAGACTCAAAATCAATGCTGAAATCAGGCTTCAAACAGCAATGCAAAGAGCTGAAATCAGGCACTCCTCTTCTGGACACCTCAGCCCAGCTTTGGGCACTGAGCCTCTCGCTTAGAGGGCTTTGGATGCTGCCAGGTGTCCTGCTGGTGGATCATGTTACCCAGGAGCCAGCAGAAGCCCTGGGGCAATGAGCTGAAACTTTAGGAAAGACAAGTACTGGTGTAACAGATGGGACCTTGGCCCAAAGCTTAGAAATAATGCGAATTAGAAGTGTGTTACCAGGGAAAAGCAAGATCAAATGCTTTAAATCACAATATATTACACTTCCCCCCAGCACTTTGGCAATATACAGGCTTAATGCCTCTTTTTTCCCCCTTTTTAAGGGGAAGAATGCCTCACTGTGGACTTACCTAAACAGCTCGGGAATTTTTTAGTACTTGATTATTCTAAAATATTGAGGGTTTGTTGCATTTGAGCAGATGGACTTGAAATCCCTGGTTTGCATCTTGATTCTCTTTGGCCTCATTTGTTAAAGGTAGAGGGATTGTTAGGCCAGAGGCATTTCTGTCATCTCTTGGGAGATGGTGCATGTGACTTTTTGTTTTCCATGGAAACCGAAGCAGGAAATAGTTAACAAAAGGCTCCCAGCTCTGCAGTGTGAGAGAGCAGGTTAAGAGGTTTGGGAGGAGAAAAAAACCCAGAAAACAAGAGTATCACTCTTAGCAGCAGCCAAGGGCAGAACTCTCCAGATCTCCTGTCAGAGCCTGTTCTGGGGCAGCCAGGCTCACTCTCTCTTCTCCAGAGCCTCGTGTGGTTTGAGGGCTCCACAGACCTTCCTCACCCTCCCCTTGAGCCTGAAAATCCTCACCAAAGAGCTCTGACAAACTTGGGGAGATAATTTGGTCTAAAGTTTGCAAAAGCACCTGTCTGGCCTCCTCAGAGCAGGAAACCTCCCTGGTTTAGAAGTGGTGATTCCAGGGCTGTTTGGAGCCCTGGCCACCCCCATTTGACTGGAGGTTTCCTTGCTCTGGGCATCACCTGTGGAGCCTGACCCAGCAGGCAGCTGGGGCGTGGGGCTGGAGAGCAGCAGAGGAGCCACAGGAAGGTGCCACTCATGGGCTGACACAGCCTGGCTTCCTGCAGGAGAGTGTCCACCAGGGATGTCTGTTGGGATCTTCCACCTTCCCCCTCTGCTGCCTCGGTTTCTCCTTTGGTGTGCAATGGGCATTCTCCCTCTCAGCTCTTCTGTGACTTCACTGGTGCTGCTGAAAGGTTAATGCTTGAGAGGGGTCATGCTGGAGGTCTGTTCTTGGTTAATTTTCTCCTCGTGGCCATGGGCTGTGGAAGAGAATTTCCCTGCTCTCTCCCGGGGTATTTTGTCACAGCTCTCACATCCCCTCTGCCACAGCTGTTCCCTGGGGAGCTCCCAGCCTCTGCTTTTCCCTGGCTGGCTATGCAGGAAAGGAGGACTGCGATTTAAGAGCAGAGCAAAGCATTCAGAGCCACAAAAGCACCCGGAGATTCAAAGCCTCCCCCACCTGTGTTCCCAGGGAACTTGCTGAGTCTCAGCAGTCTTTTCCTGAGCACAATTGTGCCTGGAAAGAACCTGTCTGAGCATTGTACAGCACAGGACACACTTTTAAGTGCTTTTTTCTTCCTTTTTTTCCTGTATCCAAGGCCTTTCTCCCTTTGATTTATGGATTTGGAGCCCATTTTTAATTATTTGCCCTGAAAAGCTGCCTGAAGCAGGGCTCAGCAGGAGTCAGACAGAGGCAGCTCAGCCCTCCTGGCTCGGCACAGCAGCCTTCCATGGGAATGACCATTCCCAGGTATGTGAGGGGCACAGCTCCCTGCTCTTTGGGGTGGGCATGTACTTGGGTGTGCTGGGCAAACTCAGGCTCCAGCACTTCACATCCACCCCATCCCCCTGCCCCACAGGGCACACAGGGACTGTCACAAGGCCCACTACAGACACAGAACATTCCAGCAAGGCAAATCACCCTGGATGTGATGCCTAAAGGCATTTTCAGTGCTGGGAAATAAGGGCTCATTTATTCCCTTGAAGATTTCTGCTCCAGGATGAATAGCAGTGATGGAACTCTGCCACAGAGCAGGCAGGTCTGCACAGCCACCCTTGTACTGCCTAGCAAGACCTGTTTGGGTCTGGGAGCTCCGATTTCCCTGTCTCAAGATGCTTTGAAAGGCTCTGCCTTGATTGCACTTCCATCCACTTGAGATAAATAATTGTGTTATCAGTCCACAGCAAAGCCTGAGCCTCCAGGGCTCCACAGCAGCAGCACTTCCAGCCTTGCAGCAGCCCTGCAGCTCCCAGTGCTCACACAGCATGGGGACCCAGAGCAGCTGGGGCTGCCCCTGGATCCCTGCAGTGCCCAAGGCCAGGCTGGACTTTGGGGCTTGGAGCAGCCTGGGACAGTGGGACGTGTCCCTGCCATGGCAGGGGTGGCACTGGATGGGGTTTAAGGGCCCTGCCAACCCAACCAGCTCTGGGATTCTGTGATTCTCTTCCCCACTGACTCTAGAGATCATCCTCCACTGTGCATGGTGGGATGCAAAACTTCCTCCATGGGTAAATCCTATTTCAGCTGCCTTAAATAATTTCTTCCTCAAAAAAGCTTACCACAGCTTTCTGCTGGAAGCAGGGGGATGGTTGTCAAAGCCTCAGGAAACCCCTTTGATGTGGGGCAGGCAACTGGGAGAGGTGGTAATGAGGTGCTGGGAGAACTTCAGTCAGCAGGGAGGGAGAGCAGCAGCTCTGAAGCTGCCCGAGCAGCAGGGCCCCTGTGCTGACACACCACAGTGTGAGGGGATGGCTGATTGAGGCTTACAGGCCTCCAGTGCTTTAGGGACAGACTCATTCTGTGCCTCTAAACAGAATTTCTGGACTTGCAAATTTATGGAAACACTTTTTTGGTCAGCAACAGAGGGAGCAAACAGGTATTCAGTTATCAGGTCATATTTGTGTGCCCACCTCACTCCACAGTGAGGTTCCTGCCTGCAGGCTGCTTAAATTGAGAGTTCTCTGGGGCAGGACCTCTGCCCTTCTCCTCTTGCAGGGCTCAGAATAGAAAGGGATTGGAGCCCCAGGAGGAGTGCACTGATACCATGGCTATAAATAAGGGCTGGTGGCAGGACTCTGCTGGGGCTTTGTGCCAGCCACGGCAGGCGAGGCTCTGCTGGAGGCTACAGCGGCCAAGAGCAGAGCTGTGCACTGCAGATAGCCCTGCTCCTGGCACAGGGGCACCTCCCTCGTGCTGCACCTCGAGGCCACTGCTGCAGGACCACACGTGGCTGGGCTGGGTTAGGGACCTGCTCCCAACTGTTCCCCAGCTGGAGAGGTGTCATCATTGAGTGGGAAATGACACAGAGCCACCAGAAGGCTGGTTTGCACAGAGCACCCGTCTTTCCTTCAGATCCTCTCTTTTTATACACCGTTCAATACAGATAGACCTGGTTGGTCAATTAATCAATACATTTCACCTGATTGGCTAATTAACAAGATGTCTTTCTTATAAACAATCTTTGAAAAAATAAGAAAACGGAGAGTAGGAAAACACCACCTCCAGGGTGTTTATAATAATAAGCTATCATTGTTTATCTT